AACAGGGATAATTCTGTGATATTTTAGAGAGGGACTACGCACTTCTGAAATTGAATTGACGAGTTACTGAAATCAAGTGATTTCAAGTTTACGAAATTATCTCTGTAATCACGTTGAACGTGACTGATATCAATGAAAAGAATGGGAGTTGATGAAGTCGAACGACGTACATGTGAGCAAAAAAATTATATATTTCGATATGAGTACGTAAAAGTGTTTTTTGTGATACCTGCCACAAAAGTACACTTTTCGAAACGGTTTACATTATCTCCACTAGCGTTTCGATTCGTGAACTCGGCAGGTACCACAGAAAATAGGATGTGTTACACACTGATAGAATGGATTAGTGAATGAATGGATTTTGGTTAGAGGTTAGGATCTATTCGGTCTCACCAAATGTTCATTCGTTAATAGTTAACGAATGTATATTTGAGGAGCCTTGTTTGACTCGACTTTCGCCATTCAAGTGAACCATTCGTTAACTATTAACGAATATTAATTTGGTCATATTCAACTCTACCATTCGTTAATAGTTAACGAATCTCGTTTGGAATAAATGAATCATTCTATCAGTGCACGTGCGCGTGAAAAAGGGGAACTTTACACACTAGTAACACAATATACCACTTCATTTGCCTATGTCACAGCGGCTGACCCCACTACGTGGATATAACGCTCTCGTTCTATCTTTTGGCGTTAGATACTCGCTCTCTTTTCACTTTTGGGGTATAAATTGAGCGATTTTTGCGTATTCGATTAGTAGTTGAGAGAGTTAGTTGAGAAGAGCAGTTGAGAAGAGTAGTCGAGTATTCGAGGAGTCAGTGACTATAGTCCTCATCGAGTCCATGGCCTTCGGGTAGAGTGCCTTTGGGCGATGCCCCTCTGGGGAGAATTCTGCATCTAACCAGAAGTTTAGATGAGATTTTGGGTGTCGACTCGCGTTGCCGCATAACCTTTTTTTTGAGCAATACCTATTGGCCCATTTTCCATCCGAACCTACCCCTCTCTCTACAACCAACCCCCTGAGAAGCGCGGATAACCTATCACCTTCCCCTGAACTCCGTAGTTTTAAGTTTGTGTTAGATTAATGGTCATTTTCTGGTTCCTTTGTTTTGTTTTTGTTTGAAATTCGTTTATTCGGTTTGTCGTCTCCGAGGTCAAAGGACGGCTGGCGCCCATCGATAAGTTTTTTTTTTGAGTTTTCTCAGTCTAGGGGAAATGGGCGAGTTAACGTGGTTTTCCAGTGCCCGGTGGGAATTCCGTTACATAATAGAACTTTTGACAATGGAATTCGAAGATAATAAATCGATACTAGGAAACTAAATTCCAATTAAATTCCATCCAAAACACTGGACTTTACAATGAAATATTTTTACTCGAGTTATTCATGGACCATTGATCCTCACGTATTATCTGGACTGCGTTCGTGTGAATATGACTGATCCGAGGCGTGAAAAAGCGAAAGAAATAAAACAGAATGTGACGAGAGCATTGGATGGATAACAGGAGAAAGGGAAATTCAATTGTTTTAAACGGCATAAACTTTTGGCTTATATTCGAAAACATATTGGTGCTGGATCTGGATGTGTACAATGTCGCACAAACAATGGCCGTGAGGGGCTACACAACACGAGGCCACGGGGTGCAAACACTCGCCGCATACTCCCTTCATACTGGGCGATAGTGTGTGGACGGTAACGGCCGCAGCAAGAGTAGAGAGAGGCGCCCAGAGGCCGAAAACAATGCGTATCACACGGAGGTATGACTGAAAATGCCTGGCGCCCATTTTCCGTCGTGTGAAATACCTTTCCCATCACAAATAGTAAATAAAAAAATACTAAAATTGATTGAATGGAGTGAAAAACGCTTACATTTGTTTGGCTGTATGCGCATCGTTCATCTCTGAAAAACGATGTTCACCCCTTTTTTTCCTCTTTTTCGTTTGAAGGAAAAGGTGATTTTCAAATTGGATTTTTTTGTCGTTTAATCGAAAAAACGACTTGTTTTGCGAAAATTGTTTTTAAAAACCAAGTCATGATCTTTCAAAACAATGGGGCAAAACATACTTTTTAATTTGTCAAGTTGAATATTCAATGGCTCTTATGTTTGTCTAACTGTACTGTTGGAAATTTTTAGAAATATCATGGAGAATGTAGTAGTAATTTTCATGAGAGTGAAATTGAATCCGATTTAAGGAAAAGTGGTTATGAAATTTCAAGTTTTAGGTAGGATTCAAGGAAGTTCATGAGTTTTCAGTGAGAGTAAGACGGGAATTTCACAACCTTATTGAATTTTCAATGGAACTTGAATAGTTAGGAACAAACTTACATGCAATGAAATGAACTCAATTTTTGCTAAATTTACCTATTTGGCTTATTTTGCTAAATTTTTACAGAATAATTGAACTGAAAAATTGAGTATTTTATTGATTTTCAGATCATTCAAGCAGAATGTCAATGAAATATTTTGATTTTTCACTGACAAGATTTCCTGAAATTTCCGTGGAAATTAAACACAATAAGTGTTTAACACATAAATATAAAAACTATCAGGAAATATCTGACAGTTTTGAAGCTCTTGTGGTATTATATACGAAAATTTTCAACAGTTTAATTGATCAATAAGATAAGAATTTGAAAAAAAAACAAAAGTTGTTCTTTATAACTGTAGCAAAATTTTTTGCTCCAGAATTTTTTTTTATATCTGTCATATCCTGCGCGATGGAGCCTTTTAAACAATTAAAATTGTTAATAACATTCGAATGGGACGATTCTCGTAAAATTAACCGACAAACTCGTCATCAGTGACTCCAAAGCATGCACTGTTAAAAATTTTTGTCTCAATTTTCCGTGCCAAATTTCAGAAATTCTTATCGTGTTCAAGTTCTACTGAAATTTCAGGAAATCTTGTCATTGAAAAATCAAATATTCCATTGATTTTTTGTTCAAATAATCTGGAAATCAATAAAATGGTTGATTTTTCAGTTCAATTATTCTGTGAAAATTAAAAAAAATCAGGAAAACTCATGTCATTTTGTTTCTGAATATTCATGTTCCATTGAAAATTCAACCAAGTTCTGAAATTTCCATCTCACCCTCACTGAAAACTCATGAATTTCCTTGAATTCTACCTAGACTTTTCTCCCGAATCGGATTCAATGTCAATCTCACGAGAATTACTATCCTATTTTCTGTGGAATTGACAAAAAAATTTCCAACAGTGTGAAAAAATTATGGAAATATCATTTATTGCTCGTTCATTCGTTAAAAATGTCAACAAATACGTAAAATTATAATACACCCATGAAAATCAACATCTATAGATAGACGTATGAGTAGAGAGTGGCATTAGCTCCCTCGAAAATCCCCAGTATGCCATTAATACCACTAATTGGTGGGCGGTTTTGGATCTCCACTGATGTTCCTAACCCGTTGGCCTGTCTTGCCAGACTAGTGACATCGATTTTATGATTGATCGCCCTCACACATCGACCCCTCTCCTTTATTTACGTCTTTCAATTTTTTTTTCATGGTTACCTCAGTCATCACATGCCTAACAAGACACTTCCTCTAATTAATCCAACACACAAAAAACAATGTTCCTCCGTTTTATCCTCTGATTATTTTTCTAATGGCCTGTGCTAATTTCGTCGAATTGAGCGGAATTATCAGGGGATAGAAATGCACTAGGTCGTGGGATATCAGCTGTTACACCTTGGGTGTATAAACCATACACTCGTACAACGCAAAAGGCTCCCTCACTAGTCCATGAATCTAGGTCACCGGGACGATGAGGGCAGAGATGAGGGGTTGACCGGCCGAAAGATAGTCCAGCGCTCACCCCCATTAGGCTCATCACCCCTAGCAATTTTTCCCCTTCCAGTCACACACGACGACAAAAAATTAGTCATCTCAACCCTGCAATAATCCACAACTCCAATCAACCATAAAACCACAAACAACCCCCGGCTCCCAATAAAAATAGAAATCAGCATAATCGAGTGAAAAATATTGTGGAACAAGTGTAATTAAACATATTTCCAATAAAAAAGACTCCAGGTGAATGAAAAAAAAAAATAAAAAAAAGGAGACACTGAAAAATAAAAATGGCAAGTCTTGGTGCGCGGGGTACGCGAAGAGTGTTTGCGATCGATTCCTCTCAGCGACATTCTTCACCTCCTCCTTTCCCCTCCCACTCTCACCCAACAAACGACAAAGTAAAAGAGAATTCCCCCTTACCATTTCCCCGTCTGGCAATACCACACAGCCAGTGTGAGAAAGAGAAGGATGAGTGAGTGAAAGAGGAACAGAGAGAACTGGCAAAGAAAACGGTGAGGAGAGAGGACTCTGGATTAAAAAAAGAAGAAATCCCCCACTACCCAGATTCGTTCGTCCAACGACGCTTCGTTCGTTCCGAGTCGTCGTACTGTGTTCACGACTGTGTTAAACTCCTCTCTTGAGGCCTTCCAGGTTCAATCCCCATTTTCACGTGTGTGTTGGCCCTGTCTGAGAAGTATTGACCCATCCCCCAGTGATTTTTCCGTTGTAAACTGCCTCAAGCGTCAGTAATTTAGCGAAAAATTCGCTTTCAATTGAGAACCTAATCTCAATTAAAGCTCAAAAAAAATTCTACACAATTATAATGTCGTCTGTAAAACAATGGAAATGTATATTTTACCATTGGGGGGGTATGGTCAATATATTTTCCACCCTCCAATCTACGATTGTATGATAAAAGCAAGAGGTGGGGATGAGAGTTAAAAGGTAACAGTAGTTCCGCCACTGTCCGTAGGAAGGCACTAAGATAAAGTGGGCGTTACCCCTTCAAAACTCCCCACAACCAATGATACATCAGGCAATCAAGCCAACTCAACCAATCCCCCTTTATCCCCAACCTCCCTGCTACCGCCTCTTTTACCCCCACTACAGTAACGTTATAACTACAACCGGGTGCCTTCCACTGATGTTTTTATTTATTACATCTGTGACTGGGTAGGGAAATACTCCCAACTCGACCGAGTAGAGAGCGTTTGCCACTTTGTGAACGATCGCCGCGTTACCACTACGAATTCAAAAAGGGGTTCTAACCTTTATCCCCGGTTTTCTTTTTTTTTTTACTAAAACCGTATTAACTTGAAAAACCAGTGGTGTTTGTTATTCCAACCGTATCGTATCGAGAGACGTCGAGTTACTGACTCATTAAAATTGTTCTTCGTGCAGTGAATAATCGCGTTTGTTTTATTAATTTTGGTTATTTAAACCTGTCTACTGGTCCATAGGACAGGCGAGTAGATCATGTACTGTAATTGTGTATGTGTTAAGTGACAAACAAATGATTGGAAAAATTGCAACAATTCTAGTGAACAGTTATTGAACCAGAAGAAAAGAAATATCAAATAGGTTAATTATATGTTGGTGAGAGCAGTGATTAGATTGGGCATGCTCACTAATTGAATGATTAGTTGTGATAAAGACAAGTGTTGATCAGAGAGATTAAACAAAATTGTTCGTAATCCATGGATCACGGAGCAATGGACAGTTCCTCGGATCACAGTTCACGTGCTAGTCCAGTAACTGGTAGTCCAAAGCATCCCCACAGCCCGTCGGGACAGCACAGCGTTAATCAACAGCATCACAGTAGCCATCAGCCACCACCGTCGCATCAAACCCATCCCCGTGATCAATTGCGTGAGCATCAATTGCAACAAAGATCAGTACCAACACCGGGCTCACCAACTCGTGGCTCACCACCACAAGTACTACCACTGAGTCCACCACCATTGTCCGGTGGTGGTCCAGGTGGTATACCAGGTATGGTACCGAGAATGCCAGGTTTACCACCACCAGAACTACGATTACTTGGCCAATTGGGTGGTATGCTATCTGGACATCATGGTGGACCACTTGATCTTATGGCAGCGGCACACCATGGTATGCCACCAAGATCTTACAATTCACCACCGCCAATAAGTTCCAGTGATCCAACAGCTAATGAGTGTAAACTTGTTGATTATCGTGGACAAAAAGTTGCTGCATTTATTATTGCCGGTGATACAATGCTGTGTTTGCCACAGGCATTTGAATTATTTCTCAAGCATCTTGTTGGTGGATTACACACGGTTTACACGAAACTCAAGAGACTCGATATTGTGCCACTTGTTTGCAATGTCGAGCAGGTTAGAATTTTGAGGGGTCTTGGGGCTATACAACCTGGAGTTAATCGTTGCAAGTTACTCAGCTGCAAGGACTTTGATGTACTGTACAGGGACTGCACTACAGCCAGGTGAGTTATTCAGAAATTCTTTCGAATGATGGCACCATTTTCCCCCGCTCCTGTATTCATTTGCGATCGATAAGGAGGGAAAAGGGTTATGGAGATGAGGGAAAATGTTATTCGAAAAAAAAAATAGTCATGACCAAACCGTGGTACAACCTCTGGGCGATCACGATTCTAGAGTCCCATGCGGTCGTGTTCTTGTTCTGTTATGTTGTTTTAAAGTTCCTTCCCTTTCTCACTGTCCACCTCTTATGCCGACTGCGTAAATTATCCTTCAGCCGCACAAACATCCAGAAAGGTTCTTAACTTCTTTCACCGTGTCTGCATTGGAAAATATTTACGCATAATGTCCAGTAGCCTCCTGAAGAAGGCAAAATTCATCGACAGCAAAAGGTGGATGGTTAGATCAGGGTGAAGCGATAAGATAAGCCGTGTATAGATGCCTTCCAACCAGACTCCCTGAGATGTTTTATTCTAGCTATTTATTTATTTCTTGCATCAATGACATTCGATTCAATGGTGGGTTTTATCGTGCAAGAGGTGAATGGAATGAATAAAATGAAACAGAAGCTCGAACAAAAATCTTCATGTACATTAATAACACCAGGTGTCCCCTCTGGGCAGCGCTTCATCTTCGGACTTTATACATATATTGTTTTTTTTTCGTCGGCTGGCTACTAAAACAGTGGCTGAATGCAGTTTAATTGCAACCACTTATCTCAACACGTTTTAAACTCAATTATTAGTCGTTTTGTTTCATTATCCTCGTTTTTTTTTGGTCAGTGGAGAACTGTCATTTAGCTTGTCGAATTATTTGTGGAAATTTTTCATTGGATAAAGAAATATTGGAATTGCTAGTGAAGTAGAATCACCATTGTGGTTTGAAATTCAAGTATAAATCTTCATTGAGTTATTTTTGGAGCGACCATTACTATGGAACCATTGTGACATTGTGATGAATATTTTCTTTGCTCTTTGGGTATCTCGTCATCTCTTCACTAGGTGTTACATAAAGATTAATTTCTGAAATGTTGAAATCACTTTTTTTTACTGAATGGACTTTTTGCCGTTCAACTGGTAGCTCTGGCACGTGCCACTGTTTCTCCGACTGCGTAGTCACCTCTGCTCTCGACGGTTTATGTTATTATTCGTTTCATTTAGTTATTTTTGGGGTTTTCGGTTCTTCCATTGACTGGAATAGGGGGAGACGAGTATTGAACTGTCATTCAGCTTCTTAAATTACGCTGGGAAGATTTTTCTGACAAAGTTAATTTAAGTTCAATCCTTTTTGAGTTATTTTTGATAGGATCGTTACTCTGGACCAATCGTTACTAATGTTCTGTTTATTTGTCATTGCATTCCAAATATCTTCATTTGATGCATGCAGATTGATTTTTAGAATGTTAGTGTTTAATTTTTGTCATCGTTTTTTATTCAGTGGACCCTTAAGATTTGTATTTATTATGCATTTCATTTGATTATTTTTGGGGGTTCTTCGTGTTATCATTCAGTTTCTTAATTTACTTTGCTAAATTTTCCCAGTGAATTTAATTCAAGCTCAAATCGTGATTGAGTTATCTTTGAGAGGATCATTACTCCAGAGCATTTATGAATCAAATTCTGTATATCATGCATCTCTTGTTTCGTTCAAAAGACTTCCATGCATTATTCCATATAGAATAATTTTTCGATAGTTAGACTCAAATTTTCGTCACCTTATTCTTTTAGTGAATTGACTTTTTAGGGTATTCACCACTGCTCTTCATGGTTCATATTCACTATTCATGACATTTGATAATTTTTGGGGTTTTCGATTTTGTTTCAGTTTCTGTAACTATTTGGGAATATTTTCCCTGTAAACTCGGTTCAAGTTCAAATTTGTTTTTAGATATTACTGACAGGATCCTTACTCTGGACCACTCATGACTAATATTCTCTTTATTTGTCATGTATCTCTTGATGAACTTAAAATAATTTCATGCTTTGACACCACCAGATTAATTTTTAAAATACCAAAATCTAATTTTCGTCGCCTTTTCTTCATTGAATAGACCTTTTGGGATATCTACCACTGTTCATCATGTTTACATTCACTATTCGTTTCATTTGATAATTTTGAGGGTTTTTGATTCGGCCATTCAATTTTTGTAAATACTTTGGAATATTTTCCCTGTAAATTCGTATCAAGTTCAAATCGTTTTTGAGATATTCCTGACAGGATCCTTACTCTGGACCACTCATAACTACTATTCTCTTTATTCGTCATTCTATCTTTTAGTGCACTCAAAATAACTTCATGCTTTGATACATAGACATCAGTTTTTAGAATGTTAAATTCTAATTTTCATCATCTTTTTTTTTATTGAATAGACTGTTTTACGTTCAACTGGTAGCAGTGGCACGTGCCATTGTTTCTCCAACTGTGTATTCACCTCTGTTCTCGAGGGTTTATATGGTCTACAACAGTTGAATATAAACTCTAGCGCCAACAGGTGTCCCTTTCACGGCTGTTTCTCCGAATGAAATTCGTCCCCAAACCCATTTTCAGGGAGAGGTATACTCTATAACTCGAAACCCATGGGGCTTACCCCACCCACTTTGCCAGACGAAACGGAATGGTAAACGCAGCAGAGGGGATCCCCCAGTTTCACTGGGAAAATTTTGTCGAATTGAGCATTGAATTCGTTGAAAATTTCACGATTATCTTTTAGTTACATTCGTGAGTGTTTTTCTCGTGTGATTTCATCTCGTATTTTGGAGTGGCAAAGTGAGCAGTGTTTACATGACTCAGGATATGTTTGAGATTGGGTTGTAGGTGGAAGTTTTAGGGACTCATTGACAACAGTTTTCCCGTGGGTTTCTACAAACGGAAACGGATTGAGTCGAGTGACAGTGCGAGGGCGAAAAAGAGAGATGGGATATTCTGGTGTGTAGGAGGAAGTGAGATGAGTCGACTCAAGGGGCATTGGGGGATACAAATAATCCGGAGTTGTAACTGCGAAGAGAGTTCAGAGGCACTCGGGCCGTCGGCTCGTGCGGTTCGAGTGACTACTGTTTCGGTGGCATCATTTTCCGCCTCGAATATCTGTTTGTTCAGTTCTTTTCAGTCGCTTCATTTCGTACTCGTGGGAGGTTTCTTCTGTATTTGAGTACCAATTTCTGTTGACTGTTTTTTTCGGGGTGATTCTCGTTAACAATTAAATTATCAAAAATTTCCTGCGGAAATTTTTCAACGAGTGATGTTGCCACCGAAATTCAAGGAAATCTTGTTATTTGGAAATTGACATTTTATTAAAAAATCGGTGGAAACGGTCGAGTTTCATTCAGTTATTTCTGAGGTTTTGGGTTTGCTTAGTGAATGGAATTTACGGGGATGAGTGTTCAGCTATTATTCAGGTTATGGAATGTTTTGAAAGATTTTCCCTAGGGATTATATTCAAGTTCAAAGTCTTATTAAGTTATTTCTGTTGAATACTTTTTTTCGATGTGGTTCTTATCGCACTATTAAAAATTTCCGACGGAAGTTTTTCAACAAGTGATATTGCCACTGAAATTTTTGGAAATCTCGTTATTTGGAAATTGAAATTTGATGATAAAATCGGCGGAAACGGTCGAGTTTTATTCAGGTATTTCAGAGGTTTTGGGTTCGTTTAGAGAATGGAATTCACGGGGATGAGGGTTCAGCTGGCATTCAAGTTATGGAATTACTTTGCAAGATTTTCTCTGGGGATTTTATTCAAGTTTAAATTCTTATTAAGTTATCTCGGAGAGGATCATTACTTTCGATGACTCATGATTAATAATCTATTTATTCGTCGTGTAGCGCTTGTTGCACGCAAAATAATTTCATGCTTTGATATATACAGATTAATTTTTAGAATGTTGAAGTCAAATTGTCAAATTGTCTCATTTGTTCAGTTCTTTTCGGTCGCATTATTTCGCGCTTGTAGAGGGTTTTGTCTGTAATCGACTATCAATTTTTGTTGATTGTTGTTTTCGATGAGGTTCTCATTAAACATTAAACTGTCAAAAATTTCCGGCGGACATTGTTCAACAAGTGATATTGTCACTGAAATTTCCGGAAATCTCGTTATTTAGAAATAGAAATTTCATGAAAAAGTCGGTGGAAATAATCGAGTTACATTTAGTCATTTCTGATGTGTTGGGTTCGCTATGCGAATGAAATTCACCGAGATGAGTGTTCAGCTGTCATTCAGGTTCTAAAATTACTTTGCAAGATTTTCCTTAGGGATTTTATTCAAGTTCAAATTCTTGTTAAGTTATCTCGAAGAGGGTCATTACTCTGGACCACTCATGATTAATATTCTATTTATTCTGCCGGTGTCCCGCATTGTACTCAAAATGCCTTCAATGCTTTGAAGTAAAATTCTCAATTGTTCAGTTTCTTTAAGTTACCGTGGAGCGTGTGAGTAGACACTGCCTAAAAGCAACTACATTAGCACGAGGACAATGATCATGATCTCATTGAACAATTCATGAATTCAATTTCTCAGACTTCTGCTAGATTTTCCATCATTCCTCACCACCTTTCCGTGCATTTCACTGTCAAAAATCATGAAGAATAACTAGAGTCATTCATGTAAATACATTATAAACTCAGTACCTGTGGTTTCGCGATGCAGGCGATGGAGTGCGAAAGAGAGACAACTGTTTTGTCCCGGTAAAATCGCAAAGAGATGCCGAAAATGATCATAAGGAGGCGACTTCACTCATGTGTAAAACGCAATATCTGTGGATAAGAAAATTCCACCTAGAGGGGGGTGGGAGGGACGGGGGGCAATCGGGAAAAGAAGAAGCCGCTCTGTAGCATCGAATTACCTCTCCCGAAGCTGCGTAAAAAACGAAACAGGCAAAACCAGAGTAAAACAAGCGAATAGATAAATATAACCAACAATTTCCATCTTAATTTTCTCATACGTTCTAATATCGCAAGCTCTCAATGGAAAATTTAATTGAATAATTATGATAAATGACGAGGACTCTTT